ACGTCAACAATCTTTCGAGATTAGTAACGCTATCTAGATCACTATTTCACACCATGCATCGAAGATTTCTACTCTACTTCGTGAAACCGGTTATCCCTGACATATAAAATACAGTAACTTTTGGCTAGTTATCTTTGCAGGTATTCAGCTCTTACTCGCTTTTGTTCGCAAATCTACCGTCATTCTTGGTTAAGCTGTAGGACTGATTGACATTTTCTAGATACGTTGATAGACGATATACGCTGATGTGCTTTTAGATTACCGAAGGGTCGGAATATCACATTTTACGAATTCTTGTATATTTCTAGAATTCCATCAATTGAGAATTTCAGCGTTTTCCCAGTTAAGTCATTGTCTATGGTTGTCTATCTGTACTAGCACAAGTGAGACCGAATTATCGCGTTTCGCTCCCGGTCTGTGTTCATATGCGCGTCAGTGAAGAGAGAAGTCACTTTGTGATAAAGTCCAAGAATATTACCGAGAAACTTCACCGGTCATTATTAGTTCGCAAAACAAACCAGAGCTACAAAGGCTAGTACATTAGTCAATCGTTTAGAAGGATACTTCAGTCTTCAGTCTTCAGTAATAAGGATAGTAGGTTGATGAACCTGTGTTAATCCTGACACATTGCTTTCCAGTGAAGGTCCAGCTTTTCCTTGAAAGTATTCACTGATGGGGCTGATACCACTTGTTCGGGTAAGGCGTTCCAATGATTGACTACTCGATGAGAAAAACGGGATCCCACTTTAAGTTTATTAGATCGTGGTTTATGAACCTTCTTGCTATGACCTCGGAGATTATTAGTGCTGGAGAGAGCAAAAAGATAAGACATATTAACACCCAAATCATAATTAAAGATACGAAATGCCAGTATAAGGTCACCTCGTGTCCTACGATACTACAAGGGGAAAAGATTTAAGCGTTTTAAGCGCTCATCGTAAGGGAGACTAGAAAGACTCTTCGCTATTTCGTTCCCACACGCTGGACACGCTCAAGGGAGTTAGTATCCTTTACCAGACACGGGCTAGCTGCTTGGATACAGTATTCTAAATGTGGTCTAACATATATGGGATATAAAATTCGAAACGTTTCCTCGTCAAAAGATTTGAACGCTCGGCGAAGTGGCCATAACGCACGAAAACCTTTGACAGCGGCCACGTTGCAATGCGTAGTTGTTTTTAAGTCATGTCTTATTATTACTCCTAATCCTTTATGCTCTTGAACGCATGGAAGAGGTTTACCCTCAATAGTGTAACGGTAACTGTTACCGTGACCGATGTGCATTAGTACACTCTTCCTAGCATTGATTTCTAAGCCCCACTCTCGACCCCATCTAACTAAATCGTCTAAGTCAGCTTGAAGATCCAGATGATCAGCCGCACTTTTTATTGTTCTCCAGATTTTTACGTCATCCGCAAACAATAATGTCGACGACCTAAGTAACAGCGGTAACTCATTAACGTAGAGAAGGAAGAGCAGAGGGCCTAAGATGGTGCCTTGGGGTACACCACTTTTGACCGGCTTCCAATCGGATAGCGTTCCATTGACCCTAACTCTCTGTCTGCGGTCACATAAGAAATTTCCTATCCACTCATGTACAGTACCTATTATTCCGAAGCTCGTGAGCTTCTGCATAGGACTTACGTGTGAAACCTTGTCAAACGCTTTGCTAAAATCTATGAATATCACGTCGACAGACAGACCGTGATCTAGGGCTGCTGTCCAATACTCCCTCGCAATAAGCATGAACGCTTGTTACGAAATCCGTGTTGCTCAGGAGCTAACATATTGTGTAAATCTATGTTGCTTAGCAACTTAACCCAAATTATCTTTTCAAGTAACTTAACGACTATGCTAGTTAGACTGACAGGCCGGCAGTTACATACTATCTGTCTCTAACCGTCCTTAAATATAGGACCGACCCGTCAGGGCCCGGTATCTTACCAGGTTTGAGGTTAGTTATCAACGGAAGGACAGTTTCCTCAGTCACCTGTACAGATTCAATGGTTGGTATCTCGGTGTGAGTGGGACAAGTATTTGTTACAATAAACGTAGAGGAGACTTTGCTAAAATAGTCTGAGAAAGTCACAGCTTTTGCTCGATATGATTCAGCTAGTAATTCTGAATTTTCGTGTTACAGTAACAGGGGAATGCCATCACTACGTTTCATTTGCCGTTTAACATACGAAAACAATCGTTTCGGACAAGTACGGCTATCATATACTAACTGTCGTTCGTAAGTGGTACGAGATTTCGCTATGGTTTTCTTACAGATATTACGGTATTTTCGGTACTCGCGCTTAGATGGTGCATGAACTGTCAACAAGAATAAGTCCCAGAAATGTTTCCTACGCTTTAACAGCTTCCGGGTTTCCTTATTAATCCATGGAGGGCGATGTGATAGATTACGTGCTGACCATGGGATAAACGGCGAAGTTACGAACTCGAATGTAGCCTTAAACTTATTCCATTCATCTTCGGTCAATCCATCCGCGTCGACCAACCAATCAGTCGAGATAGCACAGTTTCTGATTTCCGGAATATTAGCTCTCCAGATATTGGGACGGGGTGGAGCAGATACGAATTGTATACCATGTGTCCTAAACTTAAAGTGAATTACAGCGTGATCACTGTTCACTAGTGGAGGAAGGTGCTGGATATCAAAGACATCCTCAGAGTGGTGGGTGAGAGTGAGGTCCAGCAGTGACGGGACATGTTGCAAATCAATGTCGGTTTTGTGATACATTGTACAAGTGCACACTGAATAACGGTAGATAAAAGGTCGCTATCGAAACCACTACCTGGAGCTGTAAGCTCTATCCAGTTGACATGCGGTGCGTTGAAGTCCCCAATGATGAGACAACATTCTGCCATACTCCAAGAACAGATGTGTCTTAGGATAAAATTGTCAGCAAGACAAGACGGACTACGGTATATTCCCCCTATAGTCACTAACCCATTTCTAGATTTAATCTTACAACATGCAACCTCACATGTGCCACTGATATAAGCCTCCGATATGGTTGATTGTATACGAAAGTGATCCCTAGCGTATAATATTATACCTCCCCCTTTGCGACTTGAAACTCTATCACTTCTGATACAGATATAACCAGCAATGAAAGGAGGACTGTCTATATCAACGGTGAACCAAGTTTCTGTAATAACGATTATATCGGGACATAATTCTTGCACCATCAAACTTAGCTCGGACGTTTTATTTCTAAGACTACGAGCGTTCGTGTAGCACACACTTAAGGTGTTTTGGCAATCAATCGTTCTACCCATACAGGCTTCGGAAGCATTGGCTTCCAAGACCTGACTACCCGAAGATCCCTACTGGTAAGGTTATTTTCGCCATTTAATTTGCGAGTCCTCAACTCCGTAAGAGCATTCTTCCACTTGATTCGATGCTCAAGCGGCCAATCTGGTCGAATACGGATATTTGAGGCACGAGTTTTTAGTGCGCTTTTCAATAATTTATCTCTTTCTTCGAAACTCCCGAGAACCAGCTTCAGGATCCTTCTTGGTTGGGTCTCGCCTCCAACCCATTTACCAAGTCGTATTACTTTTGTAATATTTAACCCTGAAACCCCTTCAGGTAGTACATTTCTTATCACAGACTCCACTAACTGATGGTCATGTGCATGTCTTCTAGCAGGGTCGTTGTCTTTCGACTCCTCTAGATTCCAAATAATTAAACTAGGGAGGGGTTTAGCTTCTTTTGAAACTGTGTTCACAGCTTTCGACCGTGACGTTAGATCCTGTATTTTAACTACTGGTATCTTACGATTAGTTTTTATTTTAACAGAGTCCTGGGAGTCAAGCGAATGACTCACAACAATGTCAGACGAAGCTTTACTATGGGACTTTGGCGGATTGGTCTGAGAGTCCACCAAGGACTTATTAAGTAAACAGTCATTAGTTTTAGCTATCTTTCCTACTCTTCTGCGTTTTCGCGTCATCCATTTTCCATCAGTCGAAACGTCTACATTAGAACAACTCGGGACAGTAATTGTTTTATCTGGGTCACCGGTTGCTGCTGTAGCGATATGGCCACCAACGTCTAATGACGTGTCACTCACTGATCGTTTCGGGGGAGAACGTTTAACTGCGGGTTGCACAGGTAGATGTCTGGCTTGCGCCGTGATAGCACTTACGACACTAACGCAATGTTCGTCATCAGTAACAATGTTATCAGTACAGCCCTCATCAACCTTCTTATTAGCCAACACCAGGAGACTAATTGCTTCCTGGATAAGCAAAGTTTTGCTCGAGCAACAAAAACTACAAAGCCAATGAGAGTTGGGCTTTGAACACCTTTTATATGCAGTGGGGCTTAGTCGGGTGCACATCTTATGGAACCACTTATTACACTCATCACATTGCATCCCTTCATCCACGGGAAATAAGCAGTATGGTTGTCCACATTTATGAGTAGACCTAGCCATCTTGAAAATCAACTTCAACGGTGACAAAAACAGGAAATGTAAAAGGATTTTCAGACCTTAACTAAATAAACCAAGTAAAAGTCGACCAAGTATGCTTCGATGCAATAAATACACAGAAGCAAAATCGAAAAACTCAATACAATATCACTTTTACTGGGGTAGATGCATTTAAAGTGTAAACAGTAGTTTTGATGCGTAATTTACGATCAAAACAGTTAATTAACTCAACGAGAAATAATACCACTGTCCTTTTAAATAGAGCGCGCAATTTAAAGTGTAACAGACTACTATTAGGTACTCACTAGATCATTGGTTAATTATTCACAGATCCAGAAACTTTCGGATGAAGATCCATGCATTTTGTAAGCCTTTTCGTATTGATATACTTCTATCTGATGACTCATAGATTTGAAATGAGTTCGAATTGCATCTTCAACTTTAAATAGAAGCAGTGGTCCACCAACTAAAAAATGTGAGTTTTACTTCACTGGGTAGTTTGACATCCACTTAATGTTATGATGGTTAGTTGATTTAATATCCTAAGATGTAGACTGCGGGTGGCGCCATTCCAAGTTTTTGGGTTACAATCTAGGGAAGCTTAATGTAGTCTTCACAGTTTTCGAATCTTGGTGTAACAGTTTAGCGTCAATAGTAGTGACAATGGCAGTAATTTTAATTTTTTTGATTTTCTGTCTCTGTGTAGGTGCACTTGAAGTTATTGATGCCTGATGGATCATTCTTTGAGCATAAATATGACCAAGATACTACAGTTGAGCAAATTACTTCTTCTTTGTTCAGTGATTGGCCTGATAGTAAGTTATTTAGTACTAGTAATGGTTCAATAGGCTTGGGAAAGAGGCCAGATTCAAATCACTTGAAACTTATTTTTCAAGGCCGATTTTTGCATGGCGCTCTCAAACTGTCAGGTGTGTTTCCCCATGAATACCTGATAGCTTATCAGTGTATTTATTATAATGCTCCTAGTTTGTGTCATGTCTGTTATTTTTCCTGATAGTGTCATGTGATACGCTTTGTTTCAACCTACTGTAAAGGACGAGTGAGTTATTTACGATTTAGTACTAAAGAATTAAGTTATGCATAATCAGCTTGTCATATAGATCTTCAGCAAAGCAAGTCACAAAAAGAATAAACGAGCCGTTTGGCTATTAATTTCACCAACTGGGGCTTTGTAAGAAACGGTCTGATTTTGTTATAGGACATACTGAATACAGGCTACATGATTGAAGTTATTCTACCTGGAGCATCGCAAAGGTACCCCTTAGAAATTATCTCATTCAAAGTGATAGATGAAGCGAAACCTCACTTTTTTACTCTACGAGTGTTCTACTGAAAACGCTTTCACACCAAGTGAAATCACAGCCTCTGTAGACAGTTTAAGGAGACTACATAGTCGTGCATGTAGTTGTGTGTTATCGTATTACACATATAATAGCAGTTAAGTACATTTATATATAGTAAGGGGTTGTTTTACTGATCAGTCTTACCTTCACCTCATTTCTCGGTATGAATCGCATATCTTACCCTATTTTATCTCTGATTATTCCCGTTCATCTGGTTATTTTCACATAGTAATGTGTTTACTTGTTTCTCTCTCTTGTGTGTTCATAAATAGTCCTCTCCACTACATTTTATCACCATGATTTATATTACAACCAATTAGACAATTGTTCGATGGCGTTACAGCTGCTAGCCCCAGCAACCCCATTTCCCTGGGAAAAAGGCACCCACTTATACTCTATACGTAACTAAAACTAGGCGATCATTGAACTGATGACTTTTCTGAAATATCCTAGTTTTCGGAGATTCTACTACAACACTGTTCAAAGACCAGTTATAAGTTACATTTATATAGAATCTAAAAATACCTATTGTGTATACTGAAATAAGTAGATTTGACTGTGGAGGTGCTACATAACCATTAATTGTGTTGAAATCACTAGGTGGGACTCACCTGTTTTTTAAGTGTTCAGCATGTATCTATGTGTAATTCATTTTCAGAATTGAAACTACCTTCCGAAACGATTACAATGCATTTAATTCAACATAAAACGATGCCATTGGCAAGGATAAATGGTAAGTATAATTAAACACCTTCCACCTAAATGTAAACACTCCCATCAGTCTTTTTAATAAATTACTGTCAGTAAAGGGCCCTTTCAAAATGATTTACTTGAAAACCTTTTATTATGGAAACTTCCATAAACATAGTTGGTGCGCGTACAATACACTATGATTGTTGGTAGATTATCAAGTCAAAAGCCAATAATTATTTTTGATAGTTCAGCACATGCTTTAAAGTAATTGACTTTATTGGTGTTAAAATCATTGATTTTACTCGATAGTGACATATAGCTATCAAGGTGGATTAGAGAAGTAATATCACTTGTTCTTTGTAGGTTTTACCATATTAGATGATTCATTCGAAGTAGTGGAAGGTCAGAGGTATCTGATCTTTTTTTGCCCTTTGAAAACGTCTTTAGTGGTTTCATCGTTCCTAAATCATTTTCCCTCCTGACCTACCTATGTTTCTAATGTTGGTAACTATTTGTATTGAAACATTTATTGACAGGGTTCTCAGAACAAAATGTGATATATGTGTGCATAGGTGTCAAACAAATTTATTTCTATTAACTTTTCAGGGCGAATTATTCAAAAAATAAGGGGGTTAACTACTTAAAAAGATTGTCATTTAGGATTACTTTTAAATGGTATTTGTTATATGTTGAAAAACATACTATGAAGCTCATCGGCGAGGCTACCCTGTACAAAAGATATGCAGAAGATATACTTGCTATACGTAATTCACAGTTTGATGTAGCTTTGTTAGATAGATCGTATGGTATACAGAACTATATCTTGCTAAGCCGAGTAGGGTTTTTATCATATCATCCAAAAGTGAACCATCATAATTTTCAAGCCTAGACGGAAAAATCATCGGGGAGGTATTATGTTGCCCAGTTAATCGTCATTGCAAAGGGAGAACCTATGATTTCAGACAATTTCGAACATCGTGTGGGCAATTACGATACACATTCCACTTCGTTCACATATGTGCATGCGCGTGTATACGAATATACGAATATAGGGGAGGGGGTATTCGAGGTATGTACTTGAGGGTGGTTGGACATTTACTGGAATTGTCTCAAGCTTTCTCGGTGTCATTCTCAGGTGAGCACAAAAATAGATAGACACGTCCCTTCATATTATGGTTTATAACTAGAAAACATCTCGTAACATCCAAATTAGGATAGATTTTTAAACCTTCACCTTCCACATAAAAGTTAAAAAACTTTTCTATTGGTATAGGTTCTTAAATTTGTGAAGATTTTGAGTATTAAGAAAATCTACTTTTGCGTTCAAAAACTTTTTTTTCATTTTAAACTTAGGTTGATGGTCCGTAACATAATAATGCTATGAATAATATAAAGTCTTTTAATTATTTCTATGCTGTACCTTATCTCCCATTAATTTTCAGTTATCACTTTTAATCTACTTGACCTTTCACAAGAAATACCTTTGAAAGTAAATGTGTAATCAAAGTGTTTGAAACATATAGAGCATATAAATCACATTTTTTAGGCCAATTCTTTCTTCTTGCCCTTTCAAAATTTTTTAAATATACTGTTATAATGAACGAATTTATTGTAAACTCTAATAAGAATGAATTTATTCATACTTTGGTAACAGCTGACTCTGATGTTACTACTTCAAATCGTACTTTGAAATCTAGTAAAACTCAAAGAGTCAACCGTTTTATTCTGTATGACTTTTAACATTAGCATAGATAAATCTGGTCATCGTCTCAAGGCTCCCACTATTGATTCCCATACCCTAGCATAGCTTCGAACCACCAACCCAATTATCAATATTCTGAATTCATATGGGGTTTAAGTTTTGATTCGTTCGGATTTGACATTGACGATTGTTCTCAGCTTTAATTCATATTTTCAATGTCATTGCTAATTTAAAAACATGTCTTTTTATGCTTATTCATGCATACTTTGATATTTGTTATCAATTATTACAGGTCAACAAAAACGATTCAAAAGATGTTGCCCCCTGAATTGTTTATGTCTACATTGAGGTCATTGTTACTCTTCATTTGCTTGTCTCTACAATTATCTGGACGTAGATTATGCCAATGTCTTTCTTCAGCAGGCCACCAAGTTCCTCCATTTTTCAAAAAATATTCATAATTTCTTAGTAGAAAAACAATACCCTACAGTTTATGTTGATTGTTTTAAACCTAGTCACATTAAGTCAGCAATGAGTCGAAACATTCCTATCCTTCTCTCTCATATTCAACCCTTCTTTTTCCTCTTCAACAGGCTTCTAGCAATCAAAAAGAATTATAAAACAATTGAAGATCTTCTAATGCAGTATTTCTTTATTTAGAGATAGAAAGATAAATAATAAATATTAATAGTGAAATGTTCATTTATTCAGTTTACTATTCATATTTTGTCTCTTATCCTTTACATTTTATTTATGGTGTGCATCTTTGTACAAATAAAATAATCTCATTATGTAATCATTATTGACATGTCAAATATTGAACTTTTGTAGATGTAAATGGGTAGTTTATTCTTAATGTAGTATCTTTGTTTTAATATCCTAATTTATTTTAATTGCTGTTTCATTAGCAATGAGTAGATTTATAAAAAGATGATATGCTTTTTTGATCTTCACTGTCTTCTACTTTCCTACTTGTTTATCATGACATGTACACTTCCTGTTTAAGATGTGCAATATAGTACTTAGAGTATTAATAATGCTTTACAATTTTTAATCGGGAGGGTTTTTTTGTGGAGATTGTAGTAATTTAGTAGTTGAGTTCATGAGTCAATTAAAGCTAGACCACTATGAAAAACGTGGAAGCAGTGGACGTTCATCCAGTGAAACGATATACTCAGTGCAAGTTCAACATATTAAATGTGTGGTAGATATTAAAGGCATACAACATAAAGATTTGAAGAGTGATATTTTGAATCGTGATCATGAAAACTTGTTTTCCCGCAATCTTAATAATCCTCTACAATAACTTTGGAAGCCGTGACCAGTGGAGCTAATCCTTGTCGTGTAGAGACAGTTATCTACTTAAGTACAATGGAAGTTGGTCGCGCAATTTCGTGGATTGGTTGATGTTAGAAACTATCACCATTGGATGCCGGCTCAGTGGTCCAGTTGGTTAAGCGTTCGCGCGCGAGACCAAAGGCCCTGGGTTCGAATCCCGCTCGCGGGATCGTGGATGCGCACTGCTGAGGAGTCCCACAATAGGACGAAACGGCCGTCCAGTGCTTACAGGTTTTCAATTGTGATGGTCTAACATCAATTGGTTCAAGATCTCAATCAAAACTAAATAAATTTCAACAAAGATTGTAAATATGGGCACGATAGCTTAAACAACTTGGTCATTTCTATCCATTCAGTTGAACGCTGAGAAAAAGACCATTATATTTTCAAAAGACGAGCACTTTTGAATATACAACAGACATTAATTTATAATCAATGTAAGTGAAAATAGCTATTCTCATTCAATAACTAGCCCATATAAGGGCAATATCTTAGCTTGAATAAAAATAGTCTGTTAATTAGACAATATTCGCATCTGTGAATCGAAACTTGCTGATAAATTCAATAGTTCTGTGAAATTGATAAGCTTGTAGACAGTTAAAAATAATGAAAAAACCATCCAATCGGTATTAAATCCTAGAATAAAACAAAAAAGTTGCCATCATTGAATTATATTGAGTCTGATTTTAATTTCTACCGTCACAATATGCTTTTCAAATCAGGAAATTATAAACAACAAGCTTTATTATTTGGATTAAAAAAATAAGTAATACAGTTATACATATACAAAAAGACATTAAAATGAAATTAATCTACCAACCTCTAGTTGGTCTCAATAGTTCGATTTGGTGTTGTGCTTACACAATTTGAAAGACAGTCATTTTGTTTTGTTGTTTCTAAACCACACGAACTGGTCGAATTATTATCGTTGTTATTAGGCGTACTAATATCATTGCAATGTTCAGCTTGGGACATTGTTGACTGACGCAAAAGGCTTTGACGTCTTGTCATCATCAATCCTGAAGAGTAACTATTACTAACATCCAAATGATCTTCTTGTAGTGTTTCAGTACAAACATTTTTCTCGCACTTATCAGATTTACTCGACGTTGATGACACTAATGGATTAAGCTTCTTTTTCTTTACAACAGGTCGATCGTAGACATTGTTTATCAGGTCATGGTGAAACATACAAACGATCTAGAGTAGTTGAAATAAAGACACAGTCGCATAATTATCATATACAGTTCTAATGATATAGTCGAAAAGAAAATCTTTGCTTAAACGTTTTAATTTTACAAATGCCATTATATATTGCAAGAGTGAAAACTTTACTAATTTTCAGAGAATTGGAGATTAACACAGTAGTGAAAAAGATTGATAAGTAGTTGGACATATCGTGTTTAATGTTTCTTACGACGTTTTAGTCATTGTTGTTGTGTACTAATCAAGAGAATTACAAGTTTATCTTGATCATATTTAATAGATTTCTTATTACTGTTCTAGAAAAATTTCACATGAAAACATTTATACCAGATGGTAAGCAATTTATACCCCAGATTAAATGTTGGTACAATTCAACTTTCTACAAATAGTATGGCTATGATCAATAATTTTAATTCCTGAGTAAGTTTCTTTCATAATGATGAAATAAACAAACGAAGAACTGCTGACTCAATGGTGAGTTATATCTGTCCAATAATTGCCCTTTTTACTACACCACTTGTCATAATTAAAAAAAGATCATATTAAAATATATGTAAATCTGGCCATTGTCATGCAAACAATTTCTTCAGGAAAGAGTCTAAAGAAACAAGGTATCTAATTTTATTGACCTCATAAAACTAGTTTATTTTGATGGGGAAAGATTACTTTCAAAAATAGTTTACCCCTTGTTATTATATTGATTATTTATTTTATTTGAACACATAAATATTGGTACAAAAGGGCACCAAATATATATGCGCCACACAAAACAACGAGACTTCGAAGAGAAAAAAAGAAGGTAAGGAGCGTTAAAAAAAGAACAATAACGAACAGATTAGTGTAATAGTAATAATGGGGGAAACGGAAAGGTACAATCAGAAGAAATCTTTCAGTTAAGGAAGATACAACCACTTTTTACGAAGAAAGTAAAAAGGTTACAGCAGGATCGCCACTGGCTTCTATTCTGAGCCACATCTGATAACGTCTCTAGCCACTGTGTAGCACCATCTCTCGGACCCCAGCTAGGGAGTCGTGAAGGACCAAAAGAAGCCAGCCCTTTGTAGCTTTCTTTCATGCCACGACACCATGTCATACACTGACCAACTCTTCGCTTTATCCAACCAGTCTCAGAGTCGGCAAATAATGCACGACGAGGAATTCTCTGGGACGACATTCGTAGAACATGTCCAAGCCACCGAAGTCGGTGTTTCAAGCTGGTGACACCGAATGAATTATCGTCTCTGTTCGCGAACAAACGATGCCGAACCTCCAAAATGTCATCGATGGCAAAGTTGAAGAGGAATGGTGAGATTAGTCAACCCTGTCTAACACCACTGCTCGAATGGAACAATGGAGATAGGTTGTATGCCCTCACTCTGCCTAGGTGTTTGCATATAGGGCTTTTAGGATGTTAATAAACTTCTCAGGCACACCCTTCTTCAATAGACAATCCCAGAGAACAGTCCTGTCCAACGAATCGAAGGCAGCCCTGATGTCAAGAAACACTACGATTGTTGGCCTTTGATAAGTATGGCGGTGTTCTAACATTTGGCGGAGGGTGAAGATATGATCAATACATTCTCGACCAGAACGAAACCCAGCCTGCTCCTCGCGAGTCAATCTTTCTCGGGTTTTGAACAACCTACGAAGTATGACGGAAGCCAATAGCTTGGACGCAATCGGAAGTAGACTTATCCCCCGATAGTTGTTACAGGAACGACGTGAACCCTTTTTAAAGATAGGGACAACTATCGACTCATTCCATGATGTTGGAACACTCTCTAGTTTCCAAACCTTTGTAAACAACGTCGTCAATTCCTTAGTCAGAAAGTCACCACCATTTTTGAAAAGAGCCGGAGGTAAGTCATCTGGGCCAGGTGATTTGTAACGATTCAAGAGTTGGAGTTCTTTGCGGACTTCCTCCTCGTTTGGTGGATCAGTCGTCACCGGCCATGGAGGGCAGGACAGTCTGACCGATGTTGCCGGAACAGCAGGCCAGTTGAACTGCCCTTCGAAAAATTCTGCCCATCGTCCAAGACGTCGATGGATGTTAGTGATTGGCATCCCATCATCCTCGCAGATTGTTTCGCTCACACCACACTTCTTGTTGCCAGTGGCTCGGATGAGTTGGAAGAGCTTCCGGTAATTACCAGATGCAGCTGCTGCTTCCAGCTCATTAGCACGCTTCGATCACCAGGCTCCTCGGTCCTTACGCAAGCTCTGCCCAATTTCCTTACGTAACATCCTTCGTTTGTGGTCAAACTCACGGTCATCCGGAGTAGACCGACGGGCTTCAATGAGTTGTAAGGAACCTGCAGAAACCCAGTGCTGAAAAGCGGGACGTTTCGCAAACCCACAACTGACTGTTCCCGCCATTTTCATGGCGTCATGCAATTGCAACCAACGCTCATCTATACTTTTCGGTGGTATGGTAGCTAGCCTAGAAGCTAGCTCGATTAGATACTTACTTGCAACAGGAGTTGCAACCAACTTGCTGACATTAATACTTTGGTGGTGGTCACTTCGTTGGCCACTGAAAAGTAAGGTAAGATTGGCGCAGACCAAGACATGATCAGAGTCCAGATAGGTACTCCAAAAGGAGCGGCAGTTTTGTACACAACCACGCCAGCGGTAGCTGATCGCGATGTGATCAATCTGAGTCCAGGCTTGAGATGCAGAGGAAGGACGCCAGGTGGCAAATCGGCGATGACTGTGCCGAAAGTTAGTGCCAGCCAGAAACAGGTTGCGGTCTGTGCACAGTTGCAGTGGACGGTCCCCGTTGTCTGACTTGCGACCAACGAGTCCCCATCGGCCACCTAAACGACTCCCTTCTGTGACTAGACGCCCGACCTGAGCATTCAAGTCTCCGGCCACAAGGTTTCCGATAAACGCACGTAAAACAAGCTTTTTGAAGCGAGAGATGGAGAGCGAATTTGTAGTACTTCACCAGAGTCTTGAATACGGGTCTCGGATAGACTTTCAAAGACATAGCCAGCCCTATCTGTTGTCCGACCTGCATAAGTGTGCGAATGTTGAAGGCAGCCAGTTTAAATGGTGCACGTGGTTTCAGAAAAACTGCTTCAGTATTCGTATTTGGTGGTAGCATACAACATTCAACCAGGCAATGACTCGAGAACGTTTAGATAGAACCGAGTTTCCACCATCCCGACCGTTGTTGCTACCTTGACGTGGTGGTCAGGCTTGCCTATCGTGATGAAGCAACCGAGCTATAATGGCTGGAACAACCGTTCCTCAAGGTCCTACCATGTCAGACAGGTCAGTTGAAGAGCGGTAAGACTTAAAGCAACAAACCCAAGGTCCGAAGGTGAAGTCGTACTGCTGACTGTACAGAGGTGTGACAGCAGTAAGGTGTTTCCTTCAGACAACCAGCATGACAGCGATGCTGCCTTCCCACAAGGAGGGGTGGGGTTAGAACAGGTCGACCCTAAAAATGCACACCTCACCTTACCTCACGGATTTCCGTCTCCGG